GTCCAACACTCAACCTCAAACAAGTGACTGTCTCATCTGCTCAGAATGCAAACAATGTTTTTGTTGATTTCTAAGAGACAGATGGTCAGTCACCATCACCATCATTTGAATCTGAAATGCAGAGAAAAACATGATCTATCAGATCCAGTGGTTTTATTCATCCATTGCATCATTTTTAAAGTAGACAGGTCAATTATTATGATGTTCAACACGCGTCAAGTTGGATTTGGTCGAGATCAAAACAAGCAAATAGAATGCGCGCAACATCACGACCTAATATGCGCAAGTGAGATATTTGCGTGGTCGTTTATAACGACTTTTATGAGCGCGTCAATAACAGCAAAACGCGTTCAAGAAACTTTCATTGCAGATAGATTTTACTTAAAGGAACAATTAGTTAGCTTATCTTCATACCCTGCCTGGTGGCAAACGCTGCTGGTGGCGCTAGGGGTGGCGGTCCCGCCATAGCCACCGAAACCGTGAGATCACCCCTGGTCGGCGGCTGATGAAGAAGACAGGGTATCGCACGTGCTAACACACGTTGTATGTTAAAAAAAAAAAAAAAAAAAAAATCATCAATACACCATGCTTTTTTAATCTTTCAAATCCAACAACTCAACTGATTTTCCTTTTATTTTCCTAACAGTGAATTAGATTTAGTTAAAAAAAAAAAAAAAGAATTTTAAAAGAAAGAAAAAAAATCTAAGAGAAAGGGAAAAATAGAAAGGTTGGGGAGAGAGATGAAAAGTCCCGACCCACTTCCAAAATATTGGTCTTCTGATGTTTGAAATACTGACTTAAGACAGTGTTTTCTGAGTCTAGAAGTTTTCATCACCCTTTGATAATTATCTTCCTTTAAGCTGTACATCAGAAAAAGGAAATTAAATACTACCTGACGAAAAAACAAACAAACAAATAACAGAAACAAAGGAAAACACATTTTTAAGCTTTTAAATTAAAATAATCATTCCAATAATAAAATTAAAAAATATTTTATTTACACTATCCAAATGAATTCCATTCCTTGGAATTGGTCCTATAAATGAATGTACTAAAACACTAAACAATATTTTATCCCATCTGTTTTTCAAACTTACAGAAAAAATCCTTAGTTGCCAACAAGCTATATAATGATAAAATTACAACACTGACAATAAATTAGACAATGACGACAGTCTGTCCTAATTTGGATACTCATTGCCATTTATAAGCAATGATCAGAAGGAATACTGGCGGCCAAGGGGTCAAGCTTTAATATCTGTAACAAGACTACAAAAAGAGAAAAAGTCAGCTCTAAATAAAATAAATAGAAATATCAACTTCTACCCACAAATCAAATAACCTTATCTGATAAAAGTTTTTTAAACATTTTTGGCAAAAGACAGGTGGAAAATCTGCATTTTTAAAAATTCTCAACTTTTATGATGAGTAGAAATATTTCCTAATTATTTCAAAAAGAAAAGACTGAAAATGAAAAGAAATCTACAAACTACAATTTTATTTCATTTATTAACTTCTTTAAAAAGTGATTTCTAAAATCAGCATCTTTAAGGAATTTTGTTTCTCTTCTTAATTTAAGAAAATTTTTATTTTATTTTCTGTATTCATTATTGACTGATTTCCATGTCTGTCTCTCTAAAAAAACAAGCCTCACTTCCCTGATTGAAAAATAGCTTAAGAAGTTATGACCAGATGAAGAAAAACAAAATGAACTGACAGAACAGATATTCAGATAAAATATTGATTTACCAGAAATAAAATTTCCAAACTTTGATCTGCAATTAAATTTTCTACAATTACAAAATTTTAATAAATATCATTAAAATAAAAAAGTCTTTGGAAATCATATTTCTCACAAACCAATCCGTATATTATTTTCTGTTTGAGACAGGAGGGATGATTTTTTTTTTTTTGTTGGTTTTCTAAAATTTGGTATTTTAAAATTTATTAAATCTTTTTTTTTACTTATCCATTTTCTACAGTGTAACTGTACTGTGTAAACTTTACCCAAATGTGGGCAACAATTTTATGAGTTTCTTCTTTTTCTTACTGCTCTCCAACCTTGAAAGAAAATTTTTAGTTTTGTTCAGCTACACGCATTTGCAAGGTTTTATGATAAATATATATACCCATGTTATTTGGAAAACTATCACGCAGATAAAAAGAAACATACATGACCTAATTTTCAATAAGCACGTAGTGCCAGAAGTTTACATTTTACAAGAATATATTTACACAACTTGAATAGTACACACATATCCAATCCGATCAGACTGGAAATCTAAAGGTGGTAGAAAAAAAGGATTTGGATGGGGCAAATGGGGTAAAATAAGGACCTTTTAAAATCTACATAAAAAAAATATATGTTAACCTTGTTAGAGTAGGATTTTCTTTTTTCAACTGTTCTTTAGGAATTTTTTAGGTCAGCATCAATATAATAACGAAAAAGATTTATGATTAGTTTTCAATCACAATTTCACAACAAAAAACATACCCCACGTCAGTATTCGCAAATAACTCAAAGCCAAGTCAATGCCTATAATAAGACTAACAGTCATGCGACTAACGTCTATGACTGGAGACGGACCTAAATAATTTCTGAGAACATTTTTAGCAAGGAACTTGTTAGTAATATCCAGTTTAGGTATTGCCTTGCTCAAAAGCCTTTGGCAAGATATGACACAGGGAATTGCTACCCAGGTTTTCCAGCTATGGAACCTATATTAGAGTTTTATCAAGTCATTTCTAACAGGTAGGTCCATTAAGATCATTATTAATGTTCAATCTTCTGAAGCCCATAGATTCAATGCAGACTTTCCCTAAGGTTCCCTTCTCAGTCCTACTCTCTTTCCGCTTTATATTAATGATCTGCTGAAGAACATACTCAGATATTTAATAACTAGCAGCATGGCCCGGCGTTGCCCGTGCTTGATTCAAAAATTGTACAACTCGTACAGCAATCGCTATCACTTGACTTAAAATATTTTTGCCCTTGCTTGCCTTTAAAGGAGTGCCCTTTGCCGTGCTGTTGTTGCTACATGCCTTACTTCTTGCCTATCTCACACTGCGAATTTTTTCTAAGCTCTATACTAAACATTAAATCTGTTACGATAAAAGAACTAAGCAAAACGATCAGCTTTAAAAAAGGACTCGTAACTGGAAAAACTGAATGAAAAAAGAATGTTAACAAATACTTTTTCACACCCAACCCAGTTCTGCGGAATCAGAATCAACGTTGAGTTTAAGCAAGCGAATGAGCCAATTGGAGTAAAGTGCCATGCAGATTTAAATTTTTCTTACTTGTGACGAATGCAGCTATTAATTTTTTTTGCATGCTAGCATGCTAGTTAACATTTGTGTCAGTCAGCTGTTGGCTTTCACACTGGACAATAGAATCTTCCTGCATATTCATGGCAGCCAGCTATAGGCTCTCACGCTAGCCAGTAGAAAATGGCCACAAACTACATGAAAACTGTGTAGAAGCATGAAAAAAATCGATTATTTTCACTATCGATGGGAGTTGGGAAATGCAAAGTCAGCCTTGGCCTTCCTGCTAACTTGGAGCATGTGCATGTAAATTTTGGTGCAAATCTGTTACACACACACACACACACACACACACACACACACACATCCTTCCTTTTATAGATAGAGATTATCTATGCAAATGATACACCTCCCAAAATTTAGATGACAAAAGGCTGGCAGCTGATCTCTCCTCTGACCTAGTTCTGACAGTTCAATGGGAGGGAGGACTATCTTGTAACATTCAATACCGCCAAAACCAAACTAGTAATGTTCCACCATCACCAAGCAGACCCCTAACTTTCACATGATGAAAGTTAGTTTTTTTTCCCCCTTGCCTTCTCTTGGGACTCAAGCTCACTCCAGACCTCAAGTGGAACTCATCCATACATCACTAAAGATACTGGAAAAATGGTCAGCTCCTTGTACCACTAGTAAGTCTCAGACTACTATGCCTTATCTTTACAAGAGCCAGATCAGATAACAAAAAAAATATGGAGTACCGCTGCAATATATGGGCCAGATCTGCCCAGCCCTCACTTTCCAGTCTTGATAGAGCTCAGAAGCGTCTTCACAACCTTGTGGGTGCTGAATTATTTTCCACTGTACAATCACTATCCCACAGAAAAAATGTCACAAGTCTCTCACTATTTCTATGGCAAATGTTCAGACATGTTACATTCCTTAGTTCCACCAGTTTACAGATAAGACCTGCCATGCTATATGTACAATGGAATGAATCATTTTCATTGCCTTCATATTCGGTAAGTTCTATTCGAACAGTTTCTTCCCAAGAAATGCTGCTTCATAGAACAGAGTCCCGAGAGGATGCTTCCCCAATCAATACAAACTTAACGTCTTTGAATCTAGAGTTAACTGACATCTTTCCTACAAAAACTCTTAATCTACACTTCTTACCTCCTCCTCTTAGATGCAACAACTTCAGTCAGTAACCCTCTACCTTGAGTGGCTCATGGGACTTATATTGGATGAACAATTAGCAAAAAAAAAAAAAAAAATCAAAATGTCTAATTTTTATATATTTTGAGGACACACTGTATGCCCATGAGTAAAGTAGTGGTTACGATGTCGATCATGTAAGCTGGTGGTTCAAGCTTCACATGCCATTCTACAAATACAAAATTATATCAGTCAAGGTCGTTGCCAGTTCTGTTGCTATCAATATATAGATGTCAGAAATCAACATTGCATGGTATCTGGCAGTTTCATGTCATAAGAGAAAATAAAATTTGAAATAAACAAAAGAACAAACCATAAAGTATAAAAGAAAAAAATGTCAACCAATTACTGTCGGTCTAGGTAAATTCAAAAACCTTCAAGTGTTTGTTTGTTTGTTTTGTTCCCTCCCCCCACCAAGAAAAACGAGATAAATACGATACCTTGCAATGTGGTTGTAGTCAGTCAACTAAAAATAACAGCTCGTCTAGACAAATCTCCGCCAAGCGCCTCCTTACTTTGCCCAAAGACGGAAACGAAGCGGCAACATGAGATTGCACTTCCTTTTCTTCGCCTTTTGAGTAATGGCGCTTTTTACTAAAAAAAAAAAAAAATGTATAAAATTTACATGTCACTTTCTACAAATATTTCAAATAACATTACATCAACAGAAATACACTTACAACTTTACATACAAAAAAAAAAAAACTACTAAAAATAAAAGAATTTAAAATGTTGTCACAATTACTGGATAAGTATTCGCTAATAATTTTGACTGTGACTAATTAGCGATGGGGGGGGCATTATAACTTAAATCTATCAAAAACGTCACAAATGCTCACTCCACCCACTAACTACGAATATTAATGAATAATTCAACTATACACATGAATATACAATTAGAAATTAAAATCCTTATTTCGCCACGCGACAGTTAGATTTCCTGTTTAGTTTCAAATGTAAACCTGGCACAAGAAGGTTATGTCTGCGAAAAAAAATGGTTTTCTTCTGTGACAATTTTTGATTAAAAACCGTTATTTTTAGATTGGACATCGACCGTGGAGTAAGAATAAGATAAATAATAGAACTTAAACCAATATCCCATATCTGGTGTATTTATAAATTAGTTTTTTTTTTAACTAACGTCTGCAAATAGTTAATTTTTTACCTTTTATAATCCAGTCGGTCAGCTTGCGCTCATCGATGCATCCCCGCCTCCCCAGAGAGAAACGTTCCCGTGTAACTTGTCCCATTAACTTGTGTAAAGCTAAAATCTGACTGTACTCTAATGAAAACATTATCAGGCGAAAAGCAACTGCAGTCGGCATGGCGAGTGAAATGGGCGGTTGCACTTTTAGTGACTAAAATTTAGGTTGTATGTCCTCAACGTAAGAGGCTACAATGAGATCGCCCCAGGTCAAAGAGTAGTTGCCTGTATTTTTCCCCTGATGACATTGGTCGTGTTTGAAGGAAAAAAAAATAGCCAGCATTTCGAATGCTGATTTTCAAGGCTAGCTCCTCTCACCTAAAAATAAAATTATGTTGCAGGATTTTCCCTCAGTTTTTTAAGCAAATACATATTGTAAATCCGTGCTGTGTCAAAAATTTATAAATCACTGCATTCATTAATGTTCTACCACCCAATTCGAATTGTCTTTTTCTTCCTTTTTTTCTATTTAAGGTGTGCATCATACAGATTTCTTCACCTATCATCAAAATACCCCTAACTAAAATGATGTGAAACTAAGTTTGTTTGTTTTTTTATTTCTTTATTGGAGATTGAAATAAAATTTTGCTTCTTTTTAGTTGTAAAAGAAAACTGAAAGAATGGTAGCCTAAATAATCCTACCTATCAATGACTGGTGCAGCATGAGGTTTTTACCTTTTTTTTTTTAAAGTTTAATTTACTTTTCAAACCATACCTCGATTATCTCCATTTTTAATTTTCTCATCTAAATAAAAAAAAAATTATAGTATTTTAAGAAATATAGTTATGTGAATGATGAACTTGTCTCTCAACAGTACACGAATGTAGTGTATGCATTTCACACAGGCGTGTAAATTATTCGTATAGTTTGTGCGTGTACTTTTGTGATTAAAAAGACGAACAGAGAAATATGAAATTGCATCTTCTTACACCAAAGAGAGAGTAAAGAAAAGAGTAACCAACAGGCAACTAGTCAGAAGACCTAACACCTTAAACAAGAAAAATCCCGAACAAGAAGAAAACAAAAACAAACTACCTACTCAGTAAAGAAAAGTGCTCAACACCCAGAGACAGAGCAAAAACGCTAATCCTGAGGAAGGCTGAAAACTACACCAAACTGATCTAAAAATAAGGTTAGGCCACCAGTCTGAAATCTGAATCCACAATGTTGACAACCCAAATTAATAAAACTGTAAAAATATTTAAATAATGTCAATAATGCTATGTTTCATAATGTTTTTTTTTTTTTTTTGTTTTTTTTTCGTCCTGAAATATTGGCCTGAAAGTTAATAGGGAGATGAATTTCCAGAAGAAACTGAGAACCTTCCAAATAACAATGATGATGTCGATTATTTCTTTTAGGATCAATTAAAAAAAAAAAAAAAAAAAAAAAAGAACTTTGGAATGTTCGAAATTCGATAATTTAGGGGAAAAGAATTTCGAAATGGAAAGAATGCCAGAGTTCTTTCAGATTCACTTTTTTTGACTTCTAATCGAGACAATGTCTCGATTAGAAGTCAAAAATGTTTTTTATTGTCGCAATGTCGCATTTTTTTTAATAACAGTTATAAAAAAATGTGTCATTGCGACAATAAAAAACATGGTGACTAAAAAAATAAAAATGAAAGGAAATAAAACTCTCTGACATAGAAATTCGAAATCGAGCGACAGACAACAAACGTAATGGCATTTGTTGCCGATTAAAAGGAAAGGAAAAAACAAAAAAAAGAGAGAGAGAGAGAGAAATATGAGAAGAGAATGTGGTCGCAGAATCATAGACAAATTAGGATTCAATTCACTGGCAGTTTTCAATCTACATCATAGTTTATATTATTGTTAAATACAAGAAACATCGATACTACTTTTTTCTTCCTTCCTTAATTCGTAATATGAACGGACACCTCCGGTCGACTAAAAATATGTCAGGAACCCCCCACCCTCCACTCATTCATTTTCGTACAAGACTTGCGCTAAAAGTACATGCGATTCCCACACACGCACACAAGAATCGCCTGTACTTTTAAAAATCAAGGTCGATTTGCGTGCACATGTTGTTGTTGTTGTTATTATTATTGTTATTATAATGATGATGATGATTTGGATTATTACAAACTGACTGTTCTCTTCGTATGACAGCCTCTTAAAATGTAAATTAAAGCTAAAGGAGAAGAATTTTTTTTAAAAGCGTTTTAAAAAGAATCATATGAGGAGGAGATTAAAATGAAAATTATAAGTGAAAGGAAAAATAAAAGCAGTTTAAACGGTAAAATAACCGACTTTCAGACCTCAAGAGACCCATCCATTGCATTATCATTTTTTATTTTTAACAACTTCGGGGTACAACAAAAATAAAAATAAAAAAAAGTTCTAGCGGTAGCAGTTTAAAAAATAATAATAGTTTTATTCTCTAGGTGAGAAAAGTTTTTTTTTTTTACCTGGATATAAAAAAAAAAAAAAAAACGTTCTACGTATTTGCAACATAAGTCACCACTGTAATTGAAACAATGAATATTTTCCAAATTTAAAATTTGACAGACCTCTGTTAAAAAAAAAAAAAGTAAAAATCTACATACAAAAAATGAATATTCAAAAATGTCCCTATTGGTGTTTCTTTCATTTTAGCAATAAATAAAAAAAGAGAAAAAACCCAAAAAACTAGTTCCATATTTGGTTAAAATTTAATAATGTACAGTGTAACCCGGATATAAGAGAGTTGTCGGGACCGGAGAAGAAGTCTCTTATATCCGGGTTTGGTCTATATACATTAACACAGACTCTAATTTGGGACCAGAGAAAATCTCTCTTATATCCGGGTTACACTGTACTGGAATTTTGACACAAGAAATTAACATTATTGCGTTGTAAAAACTAATTTTCATACTTTATTTATGTTATTGAACCATGCAGGGATGTTTAAAAACTGGTAGTTACGAATTACAAATTAAGCTCAAATAAATTTTAAAAGTTTGTTAAAATAAATAAAAAAGTAAGAAAAAGTTTACTTTCATTGTAAAAAGTAAAAACATTTCTTTGGTTATGTATGCAATGTAATACTAATTAATAAAAAAAAAAACAAAACATTAAATTAAAAATGATTCATATTACTAATAAAAAAAATTACGAAAAGCGTTTACTGTTTTAAAAGTTTTAAATTAACCCACATTCATTTTTTCGTTACCATTTTTTTAAAACAATTTTTGTCCGTCTATATTTCTGAGATGAGGTATGTAAATATTTACCTTAAATAAAGGATTCATTTATTCAAATGTTAATTTGTGTAAAAATAAAAAATTCAACAAAACGTTTTAAAAGTCAATCAGACATCGTCATTTGAGTGTTTTTTTTTTTTTTAACAGCTGCCTGTCCCTCTATTATTTTTGGTGCAATTAACAAAGATATCATAATCCTGGCAGCTAAGTAAGAAAATTAAGGTGTCTTTCATTCATTTGTATAAATTTATTCCCGCCTAACACTTTTAAGTATTTTTTGTAACATTCATTAAATTTAAATATTAAATAATAAAGAAAATAATAAAGAAATAAACGTTTTTGGTGCTCAGCTAGAGCTAATTTTATTTTTAATTTTAAGAATTTCCAAATTTTCTCTTGAGAAATACAAATTATTTCAACGTCAAGTATATTTATTTAAAAAAAATTTATAAAGATAGTCAAAAATTGTAATTTTTAATTAAATCTATATAAAAGAAACACTTCACTAAGTGAATTGCAAAAATGTTAAAAAGGATAAAAATAAAATTGGGATTGGCCCTCGTGACAAAGAGAAACTTTTTAAAAGACATTTTTGCAGTATGAGGCATGGTAAAAATATTAATTTAGTTTTTAACTTAAGAAACTTGAAGCACTTTACTGCAAATATTTGGGGGTGGGGTTGGTCGAGTGAAAGATCAAAGAAATGGGATTTCTGCATATGCACCGAGTGACACTGGATAAAAAAAAAGTAATTCTGGTAAAAAAGACTAGAGACTGTGAGGACATTTTGGAACTTGGAGTTTCAGGCTCTTCTTGTGCAGTTATTATTAGAGTCTGGGTGATTTCATTGCCACCTTCTATTTATTTGTTAAATCTACAATAAATATTGTGTCTTATTAGCTCACTCAATCGTACTTGTGTCCGTAAACCTTCAGAAGCAATAATAGTGCGGAAGTTAACAAGTGTAGATTCAGACATCTGTTGGTTGACAATGAAGTTGACATAAGAAAAAAAAAAGTTTTCTCGTGGTCTTTTCAATCTGCTTTTTTTTTTAATTTTTAAAAAGTCAGAACAAAATGTATTTTTGAATTTATCTCTAAATTCCAATGAAAACTGAAAAAAAAAAAAAAACGACGAAAAAGCATTGAACTAAAATAAAATAAATAATCCACAGGTAAAAATTTTAAAAATTGTTTCGAATTTCATGTTTTAAATTTTTCCCTTACAACCAGAAAAAGTCTGATTATGCTGAAAATGACTCCCAGTTAAACGAAAGGCAGGTTACTACTACTAACTACTTTTCTATGTACCAAGTCCCTCCAGGACGATGGCGATCATGGCACTTCATAATTTCCTGTCCTTTGTAGACCTTAATAAATTTTGTCTTTTTTGCTATCTCCCCTAAAAACAAGAATGAAACAACGAGTGTTTGACAAATTTGCTTAACTTAGGTTGCATTTTTTTTAATCATTTCACCCCAAGCAAGGCAATAAAACCACTAAGACGCAAGGGGTTACTAAGCGTTAAAGAATATTATTAAAAAAAAAAAAAAACCACTATGAAGGAGGGAGAGAAATAAAAGAACAGGACTTAAGACAAGTTAATGACTGATGTTGCATTTAAATTTTTGAAGATCAAATTTGACTGAGAAGCAAGAAGCGAGTTCCACAAGCAAGAACTGCAATAAAAGAAAAACTTAGCATACAGTTACATTTAACTATTTCAACAGTAAAATGATGAGACCTTGATACCAATCTAGTCTTCTTTCTTTTGTGCAGTGTCCCTTCAGGACGTAGGCGATCATAGCCCTCCACATCTTCCTGTCCCTTGTAGCTCT